TTGAATATAAAATAAGTAGTTTTACTATATTTAAAGAAATAAATGAGAAATTGAAAGTGGATTAAGTAATAAGATACTATTAAAAATGGCCAAGTAGATTATAAAACACCATTTACAACTTGTAGAAGTAAAAATAAAGATGAAATTAGAAACTCAATGGATGAGATAAATAGACTAAGCACAAAGAGTGATTTGGTGAGCTGGAAGATAATTTATGAAGAAGTTACTAATAAATCAGAACAAGGAGTTAAAAATATATTAGGAGAATATGAAAGAAATTTGGGACATGGAAGACAGAATAAGAAAGTCAAATATTTGTATAGTCAGAGTTGTTGAAGGAGATCATAGAAAAATAGGAGAGAAGCAATAAGTCAAGGGATAATGCTGGAGTTGACCATAATTCATGAAAGGTACCATTCCTCCACAGGTACAAAGACTTACAAGGAGGTTAGTATGATAAAATATTAGTGGAGGATACATGGTGGGTGTATTTTCTTTAATTTGGCTGATTGCTTGAAAAATTTTATAATAATAAGCTTAGAAAATCCCTACAAAAGTGAAATGAATAAAGGTAAGAACAGAAACTAACAAAATAAACAACAAAATCAGAGAGGATCAATACAGCTGTAATTGGCTCTTTAAAAAGACTCAAATTTAACAAAACTAATAAAAAAGATATGAATACAAGTAAATAATATTAGGAATGAAAAATAAATAATAATTGCAAATACATGAGAGATTAACTACATAAGAGAATATTATGAACAACTCTATACAAATAAATTTGAAAAGTTTGGCAAATTCTCTGGATTAAAATAATCAAAAATTGACTCAAGTAGAAGTAGAAAACCTGAATGTTTGTGTGGCCATTAAAGACACTGAATCAGTAGGAAAATTTGTACTACAAAGGATCACAAGGCCCAAAAAATTTGACAGATAGTTTTTACCAAAAAGAAGAGACAAGTACAATCTTGTATAAACACCTACAAGGAATTGGAGAAGAGGATATTATCCAGCTTACTTTATGAGGTTAAAATAATTTTATAACAAAAGAAATAGCAATTACATAAGTAGAAAGTTGTAGGCCAGTATTACTAATGGATGCAGATTTTAAAATCCCAAAGAAGAATATGTCTAACCAAATACTTGTACACAAGTGTTCATAGAAGCATTTTTTCATAATATCCAAAAAGGGAAAACAACTCAAATGATCATCGACTGATGAATTTGTTAATAAAATGTAGTATAGCTGTACATTGGAATATTATGCAGCCATAAAAAGAAGTAAAGTACTGATACATGAAACAATACTGATACTGATACTGATACATGAAACAATGTGCATGAACCTCAGATGGAAAATTGACCACAAGCCTCCGGTTTCTCTCCATTCCCAAACAGCAAAGAAATGTGTTAAAGGCATAAACCCACAAAGATATGAAGAATTAGAGATGAAAATAGCAGTTACATATTGGATACTGGAAAGCAGGTGGATACGTAGTAAATGACTTATAAGCTCCCCCCAAAAAAATTAAATCTTAAATGTGCTGGGAGGAAGGCAAGAAGCAACTTGACTTATACTGCAGAATATCCAAAGAGTTTAGGAATTGTCCACAGTAGGTAGTTCCGAAGTAGGGCTGAAGGGAAAGTGAAAGAAGGAGTAATGGTCAAAAGCATCAGGTAAATCCCAAGATCCCTTCCCTCACTCCATGGAGGTGAACCACTGTGACTTTCCATCCCCCATCTTATAGAAAAGTTAAAGTGTAGTCTCTCTGGAGAGGGTAAAACAAAGGGTCTCTGCACTGAGGGATACTAGACGTATTTTATTTGACCATGAATACTATACTAACAACAAGGCGATTAAGTCAGTAGGCATAATGGATATGAGAACCATTCTCAAACCCTTTCCTTTACCCCTCTTTTCCAGAATGTTGACAACCAGACCTTTACAATTGAGTCTGGAGATTGGAAGATATTTCTCTGGGCTATTTGAGCAGCCCAAGTAGCAAAACCCACTTCCTAATATTGGGGGTTACTCAAGATAACCACACAATGGGATCACCCTGCAGAAAACTCCAGAGTTGACAAACACCATCCATGTACACAAAGCTTCACATTAGCTTTTTGGTCTTTCACTCATATAAGCAACAGTCAATGATTTCATGTGACATTTCAGGAAAGCTCTAGTATGAAAGATTGAGACCAAAACAGATTGGATGAAATATGAACTATGCTAGGAGGAAAAGCCTTTTTATTTATTTATTGTTTTTATTTTATTTATTTATTTATTTTTGTAAGGCAGAGCTCTATTACCGAGGCTGGAGTGCAGTGGCATGATCTTGGCTCACTGCAACCTCTGCCTCCGAGGTTCAAGCGATTTTCCTGCCTCAGCCTCCCAAGTAGCTGGGTTCCACCATGCCTGGCTGATTTTTGTATTTTTAGTAGAGACAGGGTTTCGCCATGTTGGCCAGGCTGGTATTAAACTTCTGACCTCAAGTGATCCACTCACCTTGGCCTCCCAAAGTGCTGGGATTAAAAGCGTGAGCCACCACGCCTGACCAGGAAAAGCCTTTTTAAAACTCTATTAGTACCAATATTCTTAGAGAGATGAGCTATTACAATCATTAACCAGGAATATCTATTAAGTCAACCAAGCACATTAACAGATTAAAGGAAAAAAAATCATGTTATCTTACTAGATGTGGAAAAAGCATTTGATAGAACTCAACATCTATTCATGAAAAAATCTATTAGTAAACAAGGAATAGAGGAATTTTCTTTAACCTCATAACAAATGAAAAATGAATCTAATAGAACCTATAGTAGATATCATACTCAGCACTAAAAATATCTCCTTTAAAATCAGGCTCAAAACAAAAATGATCTCTTTAGCTATTTCTATTCAGCATTGTATTTGAAGTCTCATCTAATGTTAGAGGACAAACTAAAGATACAAAAGGAGTAAGAATTAGAAAGGAAGGAAGAAGACAAAGACATAATGACAACTCAAAATAATCTACTTAGAAATAATTAGAATTAATAAGTTAGTAAAATAAATAATCACAATAAAAGATATCAAGGTTGCTGGATATAAAATCAAAATACACAATCCAGTTGAATGTCTATATAATGGTAACAAACAGAAAAAAGAATTTAAACGAAACTTCCATTTACAGTAACAAGAAACTCTAGGTATTTAGGGATAAATCTAACAAAAAACATTGTGGAGAAAATTATTAAAGCTTACTGAAAGACATTAAGGAGAATAAAATAAGTGGAAAAGTAGGCCATGTTCCTGAATAGGAAGACTCAAACTTTTAAGACATTATCTTACCAGTTCCCTAACAGAGATTTTTGAGGAACTTTGAAGCTGATTCTAAAAGGGTCAAGATTACTCAAGATATTCTGGGGTTATTCATGTCAAGTAAAAACAACAACAAAAGTGGAATGAATTGTATTTCTATTGCACCACCATATACAACACTAAAATCAGTTCAAGTGAGATTATTGCTTAAACGTGAAGCAAATTATTGCAAAACTTTATAATTTCAGGAAAAAATATAAGGAAATAAACTATGACCTCAGCATAGGGAAGGATTCCTTAAACAAAACGCAAGTGCAAGCCATACAGGAAAAGATTGACATATTACATTAAAAGTATTTCTTAGTCAAAAGAAATACCACAAAAAGAAATGAAAAGACAAGTTACAGACTGCGATGAGCTATCTGCAACATACATGACAGTAAATGATTACTCTCCAGGACATAGGAACAAGTACTAGGATAAGTAAGAAAAATACACAAATAATTCGATACAAAAATTAACCAGAAGCAAGGCAAAAAAAAAAAAAACCAAAAAAAACCTGAACAGGCAATTTACGGAAGAGAAATAAACAAATGACCCTTCAACATATGAACAGGTGCTCATTCTAATTAATAATTAGGGGAATGGAAAATCAAACCACAGTGAGATACCATTTTACCTGTCTCAGGTAGGAAAAATATTGAAGTCTGACAATACAAGTGATGGCCAGGATGGGCAGCAATAGAAGTTCTTACACACTCCTGGTACATATGTAGATTGGTTCACTCTGGAAAATAGTTTGGTGTTATTTAGTAAACTTCAAGATGCTCACATCCTATAACCCCATGATTCCATTCCCAAGTAAATGCCCTAGAAATTCTCCCACAGGTGCATGAATGCCCATGGCAGCATTGCTTATGATAGCCCCCAAACTGGGAGCAACTCAAATACCCTTTGATGGCAGAATGGTTAAATAGGTCATGCAATGGAATATCTGACCCAGTGCAAAGGAGTGACGCAAGTGAATGTGGAGTACCTAATGTTGAACTGAAGCCAACCAAAATACGTACAATGTGATTCTGTTGATATGACATTCAAAAACGTGCAAAATGAAACAGTCTGTTATTTAAGGATTCTTGCATACTCATGAAACTATATTTAAAAATAAAAGGAGTGGTAAGCACAAAATTCAAGGTAGTATTTCACCTCTTAGGAGGAGAAGGAAAGATGGTAGAGAGGAAACCGCTTCAAAGATATAGACTGGTAGCATTTCACTTCTGAAGCTGGGTCAGGAGTTTCACCTGTGTTATAACCGTTTGCATTGTGCAAGGTATTTTTAAATGTATTTGGGATGCCTTCACAAGAACTTTAATAAGTATAGTTGATCTTTTCTGGTTTTAATCTCCAACGTATCACAGGCCTATCAGATTCATGAAGCAAATTCTGTTTTGAGTGAATTTTGGCAAACTGTTTCTATGGCAATTAATGGTATGGTTTCATTGTGAAGGCCAAATTGGCTACATTCTGTTTGAAATTACAGTTCTCACTCAGATATGCAGGCTGATCGACTCACATCTCACCAGACTATTCTGTTACTGTCTGATGGCAGCTGCTTGGGTGAAGCCACAACTTGCCTTCCTTCCCTTGAGCAACCAATAGACATGATTAATCTAACTCCTGTGATGTTGGTTCCTAGGAGGAGCACCGAACAGCCAGTTCCCTGAGCAGTGGTACTCTTATGTGGACAAAGAAATTCAGCCTAGATTATTTGGCTCTGGACTTCAATTCAGCATCACCAGCCCCTGTGCAGCAGGTAGGAAAGGCTTTGCATCTGAGAACTCCCAGGTGATTCCATTTCTGCCTAGACTTTTCTGATTATCAAACCATGGATATTCTCCTTAGAAAGTGTTAAAAATGCAGACATGTATAATGAAGAATATTAAAATCAGCCCTAATCCCACCTCCCAGCGAGAATGAACTCTTGGTTTATTTCTTTCTATGGTATGCTCTTTGTGTATATACGTACAAATGTGTGTGGTATTCACACTTCAAAATTTGGACCATAAAGTTGATAGAAAAATATCTCAGGCAAAAATGAGGGGGTAGAGGACCCTCCAGGTGTAGGAACATCCTGTTTAGGCAACAATTAACAGCCTAGTTTGGCTAGAGTTTAGGGAGCAGTGGAAGGAACTGTAAGTTGGAAGTAAGGGGCCTTGAATGGTAAGTTGGGCAGCTATCCCTTTGGGTAGAACTCTCATCTGAAAAGTGGGAATCAGAAATGACAACACTGTATCAAGGGCTGTTGTGAGGATTAATTGAGTGAATACCTGTAAGTTATCATAGCTGGGAATTAATATCACCCTACTGTACAGTGTAAGGGAGTGCATGGGAAGCAATGGGGGACTTTTCTGCTCTTTTGCTGAAGTAACTCCTACTTCTTTTCCACATTTAGTATCATTGCAAAAACCTGATATGAGACTGAGAAGGGTCAGAAGGGTGGGAGTGATAAGAAAGGAGCATTAGTCAGTTTGGTAGACTATGTACTCGAAACAAACAACCCCCAAATCTCTTTTGCTTTCAACACAAAGGCTCTTTTATTGCAGGCCAGAGCCTTTGTGTTCCAGGTCATCTTCAGTCCAGGGCCCAGGCAAGAGAAGCAGCCCCCATCTGAGATGTGCTGAACTCTGACAGAGGAAAAAGAGAGATTGCAGAATCACAGAATACCTCTTTTCTCATTAGTATTGGAACATATCACTTTCTTTTTGTTGTTGTTGTTTTGTTTTCTTGAGACAAGGTCTCACTCTGTCACACAGGCTGAAGTGCAGTGGCATGGTTAAAGCTCACTGCAGCCTTGATATCCTGGGTTCAAGGGATCCTCCTATCTCAGCCTCCCAAGTAGCTGGGACTACAGTTGTGTACCATCACCCCAAGCTGTTTTTTATTTTTATAGAGATGGGGTCATGCTTTGTGGCCCAGGCTGGTCTTGATCTCCTGGGCTTAAGTGATCCTCCTGCCTTGGCCTCTATATTAGTTCATTCTCATTCTGCCACGAAGAAATACCTGAGATGGGGTAATTTGTAAAGGAAAGAGGTTTAATTGACTCACAGTTCAGCATGGCTGGGAAAGCCTCTGGAAACTTAAAATCATGGTGGAAAGGGAAGCAAACATATCGTTCTTCACATGGTGGCAGGAGGAGAAGTGCAGAGTGAAGGGGGGAAAAGCCCCATCAGATCTCCTGAGAACTCACTCACTATCATGAGAACAGCATGAGGGTAACTGCCCCATGATTCTATTACCTCTTATCAAGTCCCTCCCAGGGAACATGGGGATTATGGGAACTACAATTCAAGATAAGATTTGGGTGGGGGCACAGCCAAACCATATCAGCCTCCCAAAGTGCTGGAATTACATGCACATGCCACCATGCCCAGCTGTGTCACTTCCACTCACATTATATTGGTCAAAGCAAGTCAAGTGGCTAGAGCAAAATTGAGGAAAGCAGAGGCATTCAGGCACACATACAAAGTATAAAGCTTCCACACACAGGAAAGAGCAACAAATATTTAACAATGTAATTGAATGCAAAAGGGTAAACATTTTCCTGACATTTTAAGTTACATGTAATGAAAGCCTTTTTGTTCTCCTTCAGAAACTTCTCCTTTCAGAAGAACAAAGAGTAGACTATGTTCAAGTGGATGAGCAGAAGACACAGGCTCTCCAGAGCACAAAACAGGAGTGGACGGATGAAAGGCAATCCAAAGTATGAGAGGTGCAGGCTTGCACCATGTGTGAAACAGGGAAGTTTGGAGCTCAGTTTGAGGCGTTTTGTTTTGTTTTGTTTTTTCTACTAAAAACATACTGATGGTCAACACAGGTTTAAAACCAAGAGAGAATATGTAGTTTTCAAGGTCTTGGCCATAACCTTTAGGAAAGACCTGTTTACACATTGAAGGAAGAAAAGAAGGAAGCAGTTGCCTTCTGGAGGGGGCTCTGAGAGAATCTAGCCTCTCCCCTGCCCTATCAGAGTGAGTGTTGCCACCAACAGGATTATATTGTTTGCTTCTAATACCTGAAATTCTGACCTCTCTCCTGTGCTTCGATAAGAATGATAAATAATCCTAGCAAAGGGGCATCTGGAGACCATCTTGTTCCAGACTCTGAAGACAGTTGAGGAGATTGAGCCCAGTAATGGTGGCAGAATCTTACTCCAAAGACTTCAGCAGACTAGTCACTGCAATCCCCAAAGAAAGGCAAGTGACAGGGGCAATGGATCTCAGACTCTGAGATAAGTATATCAGATGACACTGGTGGCTCTAAGGACATTGCAATTAAGCAGCTACCTGTAGCCAGGGATTCTGCTGCTCTTGGCTTTTTCCCATGCATTGTCTAATCTCTTCTCTGAAAGAACTTGTAAGATAGGCATGGAAGAGACCATTGTTGCCACTTTGAAGGAAAGAACACTGAGAACTAGAGGAGGGAATGCTTTGTCCAAGATTACTCACAAAGCCGAGACCCAGAGTCAGGCTTAGAATACAGTTGGCCAGGCTGCCAATTGCAAGCTCATTCCACTACCTCATACTTCCTCTGAGGATTTTGACAAAATGTATCAATTGGGTGAGCCTTGGAGACGTGTGGGAGACACATGCAGACACAAGATGAGTACTCATCCTCTCTCTCTTTCATAGGGATCTGAACAGGTGCTTTGATACTTGAAAGGTATGCATGTCAAGTGAGCGTTTCTTTGTGCAATGTTCAACTGGAATTCTATCTTCAGTAGTTACAATTAGAAATACCTACTGATTGTCAGTCTGAAGGCCATTCTCATAGTCCCTTATGCAGTGTGCTTCCCTGTGAGCTGGCTAATGCTAGCAGATGAATTTTTACGGCCTTGGGGAAGGCATAGGTTGTCCCTGGCTATCATATGATGGATCCAAGCTTTGGAGTGATAGATAAAAGTGACCAGGAAGAAACCTGTGGATTCCATTCTTAGGTTTCCTAGCCAGTTGCTCCCTTCTGCTTGAGAAGTGACTAGGTACTGAGAGTACAAACACTCTCACTTCATAATGAGGGCATCATGTCACCCTTTCCTTCACAGATCCTGGGGTAGAGGAGACTCAGAATGAAGGTGTCAGTTGGACATGAAGTGCTATTTAATGCCCATTCTTGATCCTTCTGAGCACCTACAGCTGGGAACTAAGCAGATACTGTGACTGCGTTCTCTATGAGGATAGATCAGATTGGCAGTAAGGCCCATGATAGTCAGTGCAGCTGGGGCAGTTGTAGACTTTGCTACAGGGTTTCAGAGTTTCCAGTCACCTCGCAGGCAGGTAAATGCCAAAGTCTTAGTTTTTCAGACCATACAAGAACTCATTTTGATTTCCAAAGAAGCAGGCTCTGGTGACATTATTTTCTTACTTGGACTAAGTGGGGGACATTTTACAGTATTTTAACCGAGTTCAGGGTACTCAGTGAGCCTGGACAGAGCAAGGAGTGGGCTCCGCACTCCCAAAGTCTGCGGCCAGCTATGCATCACTAAACACAACCAGAGCCTGTGAGGAGCTGCCTTCTTCCTCATGTGACTTGCAAAGAGTCTCAGGCAAGAAACCAGGGCTTCAGACTGCCAGTTCCCATGGAGGGTAGTTTCCCCCTGTGTGGAGCACTTGTGTTAGGATCATTGATTATCTGACAAAGGCTGGCGCAGAAAAAATTGTAGGCCCAAGTGCCAAGAACCACACCAGATTGTAGATAGAAAAGAACAGCTGAAATTATGTCAGTAGTGAAATGTCACTCAATTGAACCCCACAAAAAAGAAAAGAACTCTGTTACTACAAAACATTTCTAAAAACGTATTTATAGCATGAGGAACTACACACATGGGTAGTGTGACCTGTTACTTAAAAACGGAATGCTCTGAATAGGCACTCTCTACATTAAAGGTATGGAAGGTGATAGGGGTCAGAATTCTAAAAATTTAATTTTAAAAAAGGCGACTCACCCCTCATTTCCAGGGTGTATGCAATTATGTCCTGCTTTGATAAAACTGCTAGAGGATGGCTGTGCAAAAGCCTAAAGATTTAAGGAAACGAAGTACAGGTAGTTTTTGAGCTGACAGCAGCAAAGCCACCATGAGTCAAAATATTGGTTTTGTTGGAGATGATCAATGTGTGTGTGTGTTTCTGACCAAGGGCCTGATGTTTGTTACAGAAATGATCCCAGACACCTACGAGATGTGGGAATCAGCATTGTTATGCAATTAACCCCATATTGTTTTCTGTAGTTCCTTTTGTTTCATTTTCTTCTGTCTTGTTAGAAAATTCCTCCCAATCAGGGGTTGTCCAGTGCAGGACAGGGTACCCAAGAGTCTCAAGCCTGCAAGTCCAGAAGGTGACAAACCCAGGAGCACTTGGAGTTAAGCTTTCCTTGGGGAAGAAGAGCCTTGAGGTCCAGCACACAGTGTGGCTATAAAGGCATGAAGCGACCCACCCACTGTACAGTCCGCTTCACAGCATCAGCCAAGTCATGACCTTTAGGTCTGAGTTGAAACTGAAGGTTCTCCTCAGGCCTGGCTTTTTCCTCAGTCCCTGTTCATACCACCTCTGCACCCACAATCACACTGATTTTTCAAATTCATTTTGTTTTTACAATTTCATTTCTGGCATTAATAAAAGTCTTATAAGGAAGAATGATGACTTAAGTTCTTTTTTATTTAAGTGATGACATCCAATATAAATAAAGAACATATTTTGAAAGCTGACTATTTGAAAATGGACTTCATAACCATTTTTAAGTTGAAGTACAACAAACCTAACCTGACTCACGTGCAGTGGCCTACATGCATGTTATTTCACTGCAAACAGTTGAGCATATGGCTGTAATTAGCCAAACCACATCTTGTCATTTTCTTTACTTCTTCATTGGAAACTAGCTTCAATAATTAGCAGTAAAATCAACTGCTCACCCTGTCACCATGTATAACATGACCTTCGTGATTGCTTGTATAAGAAGGCAACTACCATAGGCCTGCCTCTCCCTAGAAGGGGTCTCTTGCCACCACCTCCCTTTTCTCCATAGCTGAGTCTCCCAGATGTCCTGGGTGCTGAGTCAGTGGCATCTCTAGGCCATGGATCAAGGAAGGGACAAAGTAGGGGGGGCTGGCTCAGGTTTGGGGGAAAGAGGCCAAAGGCATAGAGAGAACAGGCCTGGGGGATCCCAGGGCCGAGAGAAAGGAGGAAAAACCACATTAAATTCCTCACCCCTGGTGAAGTATGAGGCCAATCATGAACACTTTTTCCCTACACACACACTCTGGACCAAGTCTCTGACCCAGAAAGCAGCAGGTTGGCCCAACCTCACATACATGGGCACTTTATCTATAACAGAGTGGGCACTGGAGAGCCGCGGGGACTGGATGGTTGTGCAGGGTGATCAGGTGGACAAAATGATGCAGATGGATAAAAATGAACCTTGACCCCACTCTGCTGCTACACACAAACACAGATTCCAGGGAAATCTGTGGAACAATAAACTCTACGAGTTCCCTGTGCTTTAGAGGAGCCATTTTGCTTGTAAGCACTGTTGTCTGGTCTTTGTTTCATGGTCAAAGAACAAAACCAAATTGTTTTATATTTGTGTTTGTCTGAAATTTTGGATTTCAACTTTTTGTTCTTCAATTTGAGGCTTTTAATTCATTTTCATACTCTATGATGATAGAAGTCAGAATAATGGTTACCTCCATTGGGGAGATTATTTTTGATCATAAAGGGGCATAGGAGAACTTTCTGGAATTATGGAAATGCTCTACATCTCAATCTGGGTAGTGGTTACATGGATGTACACATATGTAAAAATTTATAAATCTATAAATTTAATATTTGTACATTTTGCTATATGTAAATTCTACCTCAACAAACATGTTACCGTGGAGGGAAAAAAGACTCCAGGGGCATTAGAAAGTTAATGAAAAAACACAACTGTAGGAAGTATTAAAAAAACCTACAGAAAAACTTTTATTATCTTGGTTGTGGAAGACCTTTAGCAGCAAGGCACAAAAGACAGAAGCAAGAAAAGAAATATTTATTCCATTGACAATTCCATTCAATTCAACAAATATTTAATGATCATCTGCTACATAAGAGGTATTCATATGAGCAAGAGAAACACAGACATCTTTCCTTAAGCTCATATTCTGGCAGGATGTGGTAGGCAGTGTTGGTGTCCTGCCCACATCCTCTGGCACCCCTTTCTCTGATTCAATGTGCTCTTACTTCTGAAGCCTAGACCCCTGGAAGGTCTTCTCAGAGGATAGCCCATCCGCTCCTGGAGCTGCTTTACCTGCAAGAGCAGAGAGCTGGAAATGGCTCGGAATTCACTTTCCCTACCCTGTGGAACCTGCCTGAATCTTTCCTCCCTCTGGGGTTGCACCCTTGCTTGGATTCTTCTACTTTTTTGTCCTGCTTCCCCCACTGGGGGTTCTCAGCCTTTGGGGTACCCAATTTTCATACATTGCCTTCTTGAAAAATTGTTGCAACAATATTTTCTGTCTTGCTTGCTCTTTCAGCATCTAGCCACTCCCAATTAAGAGGTGGAGTCTATGTCCCATCATGTAGAATTTGGGTAGTGATGCCTTGACCAACGGTACACAGCAGAGGGGACTCTGACTTCTGAGGCCAGATCATACAAGATGATCCATCTTCCACCTGGTACTCCCTGCCTCTCTCTCTCTCTTTCTCTCTCTCTTTCTCTCTCTCTCTCTATATATATATATATATATACACACACACACACACACACATCCTTGGAATCCAGCCATCATGCTGAGAGGAAACACAGACCACATGGAAAGGAACCAAGCTGCTTGGCCCTCAGACTCTTCTGAATGTTCCTAGCTGGCAGCCAGCACAAAACTTCCCCTCTGTGTAAGACATCTTGGATGCAGATTCTTCCAGCCTTCGGTTTAGCCACACTAGCTGCTGCCACATGGAGCAGGCATGAGCCTTACTCCCAGTGACTGCCCAAACTGGAGACACAAATGATCATCGTTGTTTTAAGTTACTAAGTTTGGGGGTGGTTTGTTACATCACAACAGTTACTAGATCACCAACTGAAGACAGGGGTGAGACAGGAAATACAAAACAAATCGGTACATTACACTGTATTTTAGAAGGTGGCAAGTAGTATGACCAAAAGGAAAAGGGCAGTGAATTGGTTGCACATTGGTCTGTGAGGGGGCCAGTTGCATGATGAAGTAGGGTGAGGAGATGAAAATTTAGAAGACTTAAAGGAGATAAAGGAGCCAGACATGAGAGTGCCTGGTGGCATCCTACAACCTGAGCCAGTGAGGACCCTCACAGGTCAGAGAGGAGCAGCGGCTGGCTCTGTCGTCCATCCGACGCTGCTGCTGGTAAAGGATGGTGACTTGCAGAATGCTCGCTGGGTCTGGCGAGGGTCATGGGGGCCTGGCAAGGGAGGCTTGCGCTAGGAGGGAATCGGGAAGGGGAATCCTGCACCACTCTAGAGAGGGATCACAGTCTAGCTGTGGAGAGGAAGAGAAGAAAGTGTTGTCGTCAGAGGGGAATTTCAGGTTGAGGAGAAGCTGGTGGGCTTGTTCAGAGTTGAGAGATTTCAACCCTGAGCTGCACACAGGGTCTGCAGAGGAGGACAGACAGGTGAGATGCATGGAGGCGAGAGCCCATCTGGGAAGTGGGAGCTTTGCACAGGAGGAACTGGCCCCTTTTTCAGAGCTCAGCTTCAGGGGAGCTCTCTCCCCCAGATATTCATGGCTCTGGACCGATAGGCCTCTTGTCAGAAGCATAAGTTGTGGCAGAAGCTGAAACAGATCATCAACCTCGTGTCCAGCAACGGCTAAGGAGGGGGGGGGAAGTACTGAAATCATGACTCTTATCAATGTTTCCTTCCTATATACTGTGGTTCTCTTGTTTGTTGTGTGTATTTTTATACTTGTTATGTCTCTTGTTACAATTTGTTGACTTAAAGTCTATTTTGTCCCATAGTAGCATAGCTACCTTAGATCTCTTTGATATAAAGTGAGTCTTATAGACAGTATATTGTTTAGGCATATTTTAAATCCATTCTGTCAACCTCTGTCTTTTGATTAAAGAGTTTTCATTAATTAGCATTTAAGTGATTATTAATCAGAAATGTTTTATTTGTGCCATTTTGCTATTTGTTTTCTGTGCATCTTGTATCTTTGTTTTTCATTTCCTCCACTACTGCCTTCTTTTGTTTTTAATTGATTGCTACAGTGTATCATTTTCTTTCTCCTTCATTTCCCTGATAACCTACAGGTCACATTTGACAGGCTTCCAAATTAACCCACCTGGGGGAGGTCCTATGATTGATGGTTTACATCCTGTGTCTGAATTTGAAATTCTTATCATGAGTCCTTCAAGTTACATCTTGAGTCCCTCAAACTGCTGATGTACTTGTTAATATGGTAACCTACTGACACTGAAAATGACACTGATTTGTTTCTAAATCATGAAGTTTTGCTGATTTGTTTCTGAATAATGAAGTTTTACTGATTGTCTTGCATGTAGACATTTTAGCCTATATGTTGAGATCTGTATATATTGATTTTACCCTTTGTATTGTACCCTTCAAAGAAAAGGAGAAGTCTAATATGAGTAGTCACCCTCCCTTCTTCTACAGTTTCCCATAAAAGCTTTCCAATTTGTAGCAGACTGTTTGTTGGTGTGTCTTCCCAGGTCAGTCATCACAAGCTTTTATCAAATTATTTCTGCTTCAACAGCTTTAAGTTTGGTCAACACACTTTATATATGTTTCTAGTTATTTTCTTAGTGGTGACATGAGATTACAATTTACATGTTAACGTTATAATAATGTAGTTTTATGTAATACCAGTTTAACTTCAATAGTTTACGAAAATTTGCTTCACCCCTCCCATTTATGTTATTGTCACAACCTCCATCTTTCTACATTTTATGCATTAATGTAAATATATTTATGCTTTTTTATTTTAAAACACGTGGGAAAAAAGAGGAGTTACAAAGCGAAGATACATTAATAATGACATTTATGTTTACCTATATAGCTACTTTCACCAGTGTTCCTTTTTTCTTTATATGGCTTTGAATCACTGTGCCATGTCTTTCCATTTCATCATAAAGGACTCCTTCTAGCATTTCTTGTAGGGCAGGACTACTAGTGGTTACCTCTATCAGCTTTTATATTTTTTGTGAATGTCTTAATTTCTACTTTCAACTTTGGTAGAGGATTCTTTGTTTTGCTTGCTCAAATCTGCTTTTGAAACCCTTTAATAAATTTTTTATTTCCATTCTTGCACTTTTCAGCACCAGAATATCTATTTGGTTCCTTTTTAAAAAATAATTTCTACCTCTTTATTGACATTCTCTGTTGATAGCATTCTTGTGGTTTCCTTTAGTTCTTCAGCAACAGTTTCCTCAGCTCCTTGACCAAATTTAGAACAGTTGATTTAGTTTTTGTCTAGTTAGCTTTATGTCTCTCTGCTTCCTTAGGAATAGTTTCTGTTCATTTTTTCGATATGAATGGACAATACTTTCTTGTTTATTTCCATGCATCATTATTTTTTGCTTGAAATTTGACTATTCTTAATATTACAATGTGGTATTATGAAAATCAGATTCTTCTTTCTTTCATTGTATTTTTTTGTCGTGTGTGA